CTAACCAGGAAACTCGCCGCCCTTAGCCGGTTCATTTCCAAATAGACGGACCGGTGCAAGCTGTTCTTCGAAACAATCTAGAAAAATTACAAGTTCCAATGGACCCCCCGAATGTCAAAAAGCGTTGGAAGCGATCAAAGAAGTCCTTAAACGAGGTCCCACGATGCAAAAACCACGACCTAGAGAGATGCTATATCTCTATCTAGGAGTTTCCAACGCCGCCATAGGTGCCGCTCTGATAAGAGAGGAGGCCTCATGTCAACATCCGTTCTATTATGTGAATAAGGCACTCCACGACTCCAAGCTACGGTACCCCCCAATGGAGAAATTAGCTTTCACCCTCGTGGTCGCAGCTCAGAACCTCAGACCCTACTTCCTAGAATACTCCATCACCGTCCTCACCGCTTATCCCTTAAGGAAAATACTCAACCGACCTGGCACATCAGGTCGGATGGTCAAGTGGACGGTCGAAATGGGGCAACACGATATCCACTATCAACCTCAAACAGAAATAAAAGGGCAGGTACTATCGGACTTCATAGCCGAATTCACGCCGGGAGTCGAAGAGACAAAAGACGAGGAGTCCTGGGTGATGTACGTGGACGGATCCTCCACTGCCGGAGGAGTAGGCGGAGGGGTCGTTCTCGTGGATCCCAGAAAAAACTCTTCTATCATTCAATTCAATACCTCTTCCCGGAGATAAACAACGAAGACGAATACGAGTCATTGCTGTCCGGGCTGACTTTAGCAAAAGTTATGAGCTTGACCGACCTAATCATATACTCGGATTGAATGTTGATGGTCAAACAAATTTCCAGAGAGTTCGAAGTGAAGGAGCCTAGATTGGTCCTTTACCTTGGATTGGTGAAAAAGAAGCTAGTCAAACTCCAAACTCGAATAGAGTATGTTCCCAGAACAGAAAACGTGCAGGCCGACACATTAGCCCGACTTGCCTCAAGTGTCGGGGTGGAGAGCGTCGAGTACGTCCAGGTGGGACACAAAGAACATCTGTCTGTGGCCGGCACTTCCATCTTATGTGTCGGACAGACCACTGACAATGAAGACCTGAGCTGGATGGTCCCAACCAGGTCGTATCTCGAGACCAGCACGTTGCCACCTGACCCAAAAGAGGCTAGGCAGCTCCGTGTACAGGCAACTCGATTTACGATTGTGGCCGACGAACAATTCAAGCGAGGGTACTCGACACCCCTACTAAAATGATTGGGTGAGAAAGATGCTGAGTATATTTTGAATGAGATCCATGAAGGCGTGTGCGGCAACCATTCCGAAGGGTACGCCCTCACCCAAAAAGTTTTGAGGCAAGGCTATTACTGGCTGAGCCTAAAGAAGGACGCCCTCGAGATGGCTTGGAAGTGCACCAAGTGTCAAAGCTTCGCGCCTAACATCATTCAACCTTCTCAACCTCAAAATCGATATTCAGCCTGTGGTTGTTCGCGAAATGAGAAGTCGATCTGATCGGACCCTTGCCAACAGGCAAAGGTGGGGTGAAGTACGCAGTCGTCGTCGTCGACTACTTCACGAAGTGGGCAGAAGCCGAGCCTCTAGCCACCATAACCGAGCAGAAAACGATAGACTTCCTGTGAAAATCCATCATATGTTGATTTGCAGTGCCGAACTCTATCATCATGGACAACGAGAAACAATTCGAAGGAAAGAAGCTAGAGGCATTCTGCGAAGAGCACGACATCAAACATTTATTCTCGACACCTTACCATCCACAGTTGAATGGTCAGGTCAAAGCCGCCAACAAAATAATCAAACAAGGACTCAATGTCCGGCTTGAAATAGCAAAAGGAACCTGGCCGGACGAACTCCCAAGCGTGCTCTGGTCGTACCACACGACAACCAGATCGTCTACTGGTGAAATGCCGTTCTCACCTGCATATGGATCCGAGGCGATAATCCCAGTCGAGCTCGGTGCCCCGACTTACCGAGTGACCAGCTTCGAAGAAACATCAAATGCCAAATCTCTGAGAGCAAACCTCGACCTGTTGGACGAACACCGATTATAGGCCTAGCTTAGAGACGCCGCGTACAAAAGACAAAGCGAAAGATATGTCAATTCCCATGTCAAGCCGCGATCATACCAGATCGGCGACTTAGTCCTCAATATGGTAACGGGGCCGGATCCTGGGCCCCTGAAGCCGAAGTAGAAAGGTCCTTATAAAATCAGTGAGGTTCTCCCACATGGGTCCTACCGACTAGAACACCCGGACGACACTCCGCATCAGTACCCATGGAACTCGGCGTTCCTCAAAAGGTTCCACCAATAGGTCTAGGTTATTAACATACCTCGTAATTTACATTGTCTTGTGAACTATTTAATGAATTATGTAATAATGTGACTTTTTTCTACGTCACTTTCTAGTAGTTAGGCCGGTTAGGTTTAGATTGAGTCGGAGCGGCGTAATTAACGTGATTATGTGCTAAGAAACTGCACAGGTAGGTAGCCCGGTCAGGCCAAAATACCATCGAGTCCAACAAACGACTCGATCAGGTAAACTGCCATGTATTGATGTGCTAAGAAACTGCACAAGCCGGGCTCAGCATGGTAGCCCGGTCCGGAAAAAATACCATCAAAACTGATAAGCTGCCAATGTAAAAAATTAAATATAAGAAGCCGGACTCGAAAATGGTCTGGCTAGGCCAGAACACCGTCGATCCCGACGCGCGGCTCTTCCAGGTAAAAGTTGCCATTTTACTAAAGTAAATATGGAGTGCCAGGTTGAGTAAAAAGCCCGTCCAGGCTAAGAGACGACTTAATAAGATAACGAAGGCGATTACACGGCCCAAGCCCAATTAATGGCTCGACAAGTATGGTGAAAACAAAGAGTAACTAAATTAAACAAGGCAACACAAGCCGAAAAACGTAAATAACTAAGTACAATCTTGAAAATCGCACAAAACATAAAAAGCATAACGAAAACAGCTCGTCCAAACACCCATAGATATTCCAACATTCAAAAGCAAGCCAAATCTCACGGAGGTTTTAAAGGGAAAGATATTTAAGTTGAAGCGGCGATTAGTGAATGGGTGAGCCCCGTGCACGTGGTCCCGAAGAAGATGGGATCACGGTGGTTGAGAACAATAAAGACGAACTTATACCCACGAGGGCTACTACAGGATAGCTTATGTGCATAGATTTCCAGAAGCTTAATGCCACCACATAGAAGGATCATTTTCCCTTGCCTTTCATCGATCAACTTCATGACAAATTAGTCGGGCACAATTCTATTGCGTTCTTGACGGATTAACGAGATATTATCAAATTCTAACAGCCCTGGAGGATCAATCGAAGACCATTTTTACATGCCTCTTTGGCACCTTTAAGTTTCGAAGAATGTCGTTCGGGCTTTGTAATGCCCCTGCTACATTTCAAAGGTGCATGTTCTCTATTTTCTTGGACATAATTGATTAATTTATTGAGACCTTTATAAATGATTTTTTCATCTTTGTTGATTTGTTTGTAGATTGCCTTGATAAACTCATGAACTCTTCTTCTCTCTCTCTCTTTTTTTTTTTCCCAAACCGTTGACTTGTGCTTTTAAAATCTTGGTCTCTTTAATCAAATTCACAAGCTTTTTAATTTTGACTTGCATCCTCTCGATTTTCACTGGCATCTTTTTAGTTTCATTTTCCTTTTCATTAAATTTGTCCATTAAGCAATTAGCTGAGATAATTTGTTGAGACCAATGTCAACATAGGTGGTGCAACGCAATCAAATTAGTTACATCCTTCCCCCACCAAAGCCACAAAAATAGTATGTTGAAAATATATATTGAGCAAAGTTTGAACAATTGGGAAAAAATTCCGAACTTGCATTCAATTAACAACAGGAGAAAAATATTCTTCCACGGTTGGTATGCTTCCTTGAAGTTCGACTCACGACTCTCTTTCCGCAATAGTAATCGATATTTCTTGTAATCTCAGACATCAATTTCGATTGAATTTTTAGAGTAAAAAGTTAGGGTTCTACGTTTTATTTAGGTTTCAACAAGTGATTTGAATTGGGGCTGAAACATGTTTATAATGTCTGTGTTTTGTCAATTTGGGAAGCTTCGTTTACACGTTAGATCCACGTTAGATCACGTCAGCACCTACCGGTGATTTTCCATACATGTGGATAAATTGGACACGAATTTCATGTTTTAACAAGTTTCAGGACACTTTTGTCAAACTAAAAAGAAGTTGTCCACAACTGCCACATACGCCTAGTTACATGCTACAAAATGCAATTCTTCCAAAAATTTTATATCCAAGGATTTCCTAAGGGTTTCAGTGTGCTTTTAATACTTTCTTTTTTTTTTAATACTGAGGCTAGGTTTTTTTTTTCTATTTATAAAGAGGATTAATAGTGGTTTTCCACTTATCCCTTGGTTGATTCGGACTCGAGACCTATCCTCAAGTGAAGGGTACTNAAAAAAAAAGGAAAAAAAAAAAACAAAGGTTATTGTGTTTAATTAATTGGATGTAAATACAGTTTACCATTAGGGTCCAAAAAGATAACTAATACTCTATTGACAAGTTGAATACTTGTTGGGGATGACAAAACATGATACCATGGCCAACAAAGCAAACAAGTACAAACAGTATCGAGGAAGTATTGTGGACAGCTACTACAGCCTAGGTAATAGGCTTACAAGTAGTCTTATTTTGTCCTACATATAATACATATGCAACCGAGTTGATGCTACAACAGCCGATTAATTATGATCAAATCATTCCACCCTCTAAAGCAAGAGTGACTAATGCGTGGAATAATAATACATCAGCATGACACCTTGTTTGGTACCATTTTATGTAATCTTTAAAGACCGCGTGAGTCAGAAATGAATGCAAGATTACATCAGCATGACACTCTGTTTGGTACGAAATTTATCTCTTACTTTAATTGCTGATTCCAATCTCTTCCCGACTCTCTCTCTCTATTTATAGAGTGCCCCGTTGAAGCAAAGAAGTAGAAGAAAATTAAAGCAGAGATGTCCATGTCTTCCAACAGGCGGTGGTGCCCGACCTCTGAGCAAGTTATGATACTTGAGGAGCTTTACAGGCGGGGGCTTAGGACTCCCACTGCTCCGCAGATACAGAGGATCACAGCCCACCTATCCGTCTACGGCCGGATTCAGGGAAAGAACGTCTTCTATTGGTTCCAGAATCACAAGGCCCGTGACCGCCAAAAGCTGCGCAAGAGGCTCGCCGCTAACCCACACCTTTACACGTGCGCCGCACCTACACATTATCCCACCTTCTCCACCTACTACTATCCCTACTCTCACTCTCCACAATTTTTGTATCTCCCCCCACCTTCTCCACCTCAGGTATTATTACACTTTTATTTTATTTCCTTAATTAATTCTTATTCTCTACTTGATTTTGTTAAAACTATACTAGACAAAGAAAAATATAAATTATTAGTAGAATAATATTAATTTACGTGTAATGCTTGTAAGTTTTAAACACGTGACGTGAGAAAAAAAAAATTATTAACAGTGGGATTTACGATGTTATGTACTGTTTATATTTCCACTGTGTGGGGGTCCATATAAATTCACGACCTGCATTTTGAAGCAACTAAATATCATGAAAAGCCTACTGCCTATATAAAAAAGAAAAAAAAAAGACTAGAAGCACGAATCTAAATTTATTTCGATACACACGTACTTCAGTTTTTTTCTTTGCAAGCTTCTTATTCTAAACAAACCCTATCATATACTATTGCATGTGTAAATTGTGAACATAATAAAATTGAGCCATCTACAACATGCCTTTATAGTTTTTTTCTTTAAATGAAATCTGGAGTATCCATTCACCGTTTTTGTAATATGCTTATATTTATATAACTAAAATAGTGTTCATTTTGCCTCTTTGTTAAATTATGCACCCCTCTTAATTGAATGGAATGATATTTTGTACCTCAGACAGCCACAGGCAATTGAATGGTACTTCAGTGCCTTGTTTGGTAAACAAAAGTTAATCACAAAACAAAAACAAAATTGCCCCAAAAGCTCCTGCAAAATGATATTACTGCGTATGTGATTGTCTTGTCTTGTTTTTGCGTAAAAATAGAAGGATTGGACCACTTGTCAAGTGCTGTAAAATGTGACTCCAAGAAAAGGCTCAAATTAGTTAGCGGTCCGGTTTACCTACACCTGGACCATTTTAAACAATTTCTTTCACTCACTCTGACCAATACAAAAATCTTTCAAAATCATAATTTTTTTTTTTTTATTATACATTCGCTGTTAATATAACGAGATTTCCCATAATTCCTCTCTTTTAAAAATACAACAAAAGCATGTATCGCATATATATTATTAATGAGTACGTGTCACAGGCTGACCAGGAGGCCCCCGGTGGGTTGGCGATGCAGAGTAACAAGACAGATCATCATCATAAAGATTGGTTGCTCAGATCGTGCGGTCAGGATTTCAGTATGATGGTGGAGGTGGGGCCCAGCACGGCGTGCTGCACCACAAGGAGTGAGCCCCTCCAAACCCTACAACTCTTTCCCCTCAGATCCCCCGCTGCTGCAGACAACCAAAACTCCTCGCCTTAAAAGGCATATGATGAACCCACCAGTTATCAGGACGGCCCCCCGACCGACTTTCTTATTAAATTAAATAAATAATAATTAGCAATAGCATATAAGATATCTGTCTCTATCTCTAGGGCCCTAGGCTGATTTTCTGCTCTTTCTCTCTCTAAAACCTAAGCTATACATATATAATATATTATAGATATATAAAAAGCTTATTTTGTCTTAGTTTTTTGTGTTGTGTTTTTTGCTTTTCTGTTACGTCTCAGCTAGGCAGGCCTCCGAATATGCTGAATTGTCCAATAGTTAGAGCAGTGTGTACTTCCTCTTTACTGCCAGCTGTACTTCAAACCTTATGTCTTATTTTTCACTCCATAGTCGACACTTATATTCCCACTGCATTAATAAAAATATGTATATGTCTAGAGAATTTTATTTTCCTCGAAGTTCAATTGAAACGTACATATCAATTTTATTTTATTTTTTACCAAATATCAAATATATATGTTTGGTCACCTTTAAATAATAAAAAAGACAAATGTTGGGTAGAATGACTTTCATTAAAATTTAGGGGAAGTATTGTATTTTCGCCTAATTTAAAATAATATAAATTCATATAAATTGCCCAATGCAAGACTGATAAATTGAACTTTAAGTATTTACACGCTAACAGTCCCTTTCAACTAACTTATTTTGCACATCACTAACTTAGACATAATTTCATTTTTAGTCCACTATATTAGTCATTTTTCAGCAAAGTCCACCTTTTTTGCAGACATCTAACTTACTACATTAATTTGAAAAATTCATCAAATAAGGTACACTAATCATTAGCTGCACGATAAAATTCACAGTTTCTTTTCTGCTCTAATTCGAAAGCTGTCTGATGTCCGTTTCAAGTGGGTAACCTACAGTTGGATTCTTCTCGTCGAGACGGTTGTTTCTGCAAACTTTTTGTCCAATTGTAGTTCGTTTGTCCACTCAATTTTCCATCCAAAATAATTTAAGTTATTTTTTATCCGGTTTAATTACGATGCCATAAAGCATCCAGTTAGGTGGGTGACCCACCATCGGATTTATAAATAGATAATACTCACGATGTTTAATCTCAATTGAAGTTTGTTTGTCTGCTCAAGTTGTCATCCGAAATAATTTTAGCCCAAATTTGTTGTTATTTATCTAGGGGCCATTTTAGTGCCTTATGGTGTACGTTTTAGTTGGGCGACTCACCGTCGAGTTTGTCTCATCAAAACGGCCGTAAACACAAATTTTAGCTCAATTAGATTTAAGTTGCGCAATCAATGTTTCTTGTCAATGTTTCGTCCAAACTAATTTCGGTTGTTTTATTTTCATTTTAATTATGGTGTCGTCTCACATCAACTTGATGTATGTGATCCACCGTTAATATCTTTGCATCAAGACGATCATATATATAGCCAAAATTTCAGAAAAAATGGACTTCGTTTGCTTAATCAATTGCTGGTTCAAAATTATATACACTAATAACTACATTTTCGGCCAGTGATTAGCCCGCGTAGAGCCCGTGATAATTTAGCATTTATATATCTAGCCACTAATGATTAGTGTACCTTATTTAATGAATTTTTTAAATTAATGTACTAAATTTGATGTCTGCCAAAATAATGGATCATTTCTTAAAAATAATCAATATAATAGACAAAAAATGTAATTTTGCCCAATAAGTTAACAACTCTTCTAGACACAACGTAGACTTAGACAACATGATATATCTGAAATCCCTCTAGCTTATATGACGATACTACTCGTCTGAAGCACCCAATAGAAATGCAAGAACAAACGTCAAATTTCAAATTAATGATGTACTAACATGTATTGGAATAGAAAATCAAAACATATTTACATTTCATTGAACGAAAGATTGGGTCTGAGAATCTGTGTACAGAATGAAAAGAGAGAGAAAAATAGCTACGAGTGCTATTGTGAAGAAAGAAAAGAATGAAAAATTATGTACAGTGAACACTAATTACATTTTATTTATATGAGGACCTAATTAACTAAAAGTGCTAAGAGAAGGAAAAAGTGCTAAACATAAAATACACTTTTAATATATTCTAATATCTCCTCGCAAGATGAGCATGTATGTTAATCATACTCATCTCGGAAAGGCAGTGATGAAAAAGAGAGGGACTGAGAGCCTTTGTCAATATGTCTGCAGTTCGATCTTGGGAAGATACATGATGGAGTGATATCAGGCCCTTTGAGATCTTTTCTCGGATGAGGTGACAATCTATCTCGATGTGCTTTGTTCTTTCATGGTGGACTGAATTTTTAGCTATAGATATGGCTGACTTGCTATCAGAGAATAGGCAAACAAGAAAGTTATGTTCAATTTTTAAATCATGAAGCAGGTATATGAGCCATTGTGCCTCACAAGTTGTAGAGGCAAGTGCTCTATACTCAGCTTCAGCTGTGGATCTACTGACTATGTTTTGCTTCTTGGATTTCCATGAGATAATGGAATTCCTTTAGAAGAAAACATAGCCAGTGATGCTTTTCCTTGTATCAATGCATCTTGCCCAATCACTATCACTATAACCTATTAATTTAAAATCAAAATTTCTTAAGAAGATAATACCTTGTCTAACTGATGTTTTTAAGTATCTAAGTACTCTGTATGCAGCATCAAGGTGTACCTGTTTTGGTTTTGTGACATGTTGGCTAAGGACTGAACACTATAGGCAATGTCAGGCCTTGTGATTGTAAAATATAAAAGTCTGCCAAGCAATCTTCTGTAACAGGTAACATCAATATCTTTCTCATTAGAATTTACAGATATAGAAGATAACTTTAAATTGCAGTCCATGGGGGTTTTAGAAGGTTTGCAATCTAGGAAACCAATATTAGTTAAGATAAAAGAGTGTATTTTCTTTGACAAACATGAATGCCTTTTTCAGAGTGTGCAAATTCCAACCCCAATATATACTTCAGAACACCCAGATTTTTTATTGTGAAACATTTATCAAGATGAGCTTTAATGGCAAGAATATCAGATAAGTTATTACCTGTAACTATGATGTCATCTACATAGACAAGTAATACTGAAATATTGCCCTCATAAACTTTTATGAAGAGAGAATAGTCTGCATCAGATTGGATAAAACCATAATCAAGTAAACAAACATTAAGCTTATGAAACCATTGCCTGGATGCCTGTTTTAAACCATGTAAGCTCTTCGATAATTTGCATACTCTTCAATCAAAAGCATCTAAATAACCAGGAGGTGGCAGCATATAAACAGTTTCATATAGATCACCATAAAGGAATGCATTATTCACATCAAGTTGGTGTATATGCCATGATTTAGCAGATGCAACAACAAGTAAAACTCTAACAGCTGTAACTTTGGCAACTGGAGAAAAAGTATCAAAATAGTCAATGCCTTCTTCTTGGGTATATCCTTTACCTACAAGTTTAGCTTTATATCTTTCTATTGATCCATCAGACTTGCATTTAACTTTATAGGGTTAATAACTTTTTCCCATCTGAACTATCACGATTTTGGCGCATCACCATATGAACTTTTTTTTTTTTTTACAAACCACCATCTAAACTATATGGGCTTGTCAAATTTCCCCCTAAACTGGAAACAAAAGTAGTTTTGACTAAAAAAAAAGCTGATTTTTGAGGGCATTTCAGGAATTTCATATTTTTTCAAAAAAAAATGAAAAATAAAAATAAAAGACAACAGCAACATTCAGTTGGCACCAACAGCCACCTCCAAACCCTAATCTCCGGCGACTTTGACCACATCATTTTCACCCTTGACAACATCACCCCTGCATTCACAAAACTCATCGCCATGTCCTCAACAAGCCAATGCGTCGTGGGCCTCGGTGGCTCGGAGCTGTGTCCACCGTCTTTTTCGTGGCCTCGAGCTGGGTTAGCATTTCTTGCGCGAGTGAGTGGCTCGAGTTTCGGAAGCCTTGCTGCCAGTGAGCTGGGCCTTCATGTCCTCGAGGGAGAGTGTTTCAGAGAGCTTTCTGTTTCAGCTTGTTGAGCTCGTTTTCCTGGTTTTCTTGATGGGTCTCGGTTTTGGGCTCGGAGAACTGTTCCTGGAGTGCCGATAGCTGTTGTCTGGATTGCTCGGAGTCTTTATCAGCTTGCTCCTTTAGTTCCTCGGTCGAGCGAAGTTGATCCTTCAAGAGCTTGAGGTCATTCTCGAGATGAGAAATCTGGTTCTCGAGCTCAGAAACTCTGCTCGAGCGTTTTTTCTGTAACATAATTACACCAAAAAAGTCTATTTATTGAACATATACAAAAACACACTCCTCACATAATAGAAAAGTGGACCCTGCAAGTAATATAAATTTTGTTATCTTTTCTTCCTTTGGGGGCAATTTGGCTTAACAAATTAATAAATCCAGCAATTGTTTTTAATTCTTTTTAGTTATCATTTTCATTGTCTTCTCAAATAGAGAAAAAGTGAATTGTAGTTTAGCCTCAGAACCTTAGAAGCTGGGCTATTGTGCGATTTGTGATCGGCCACTTTAGGACTTACTCTCTTTTGGTGGTCTTAAATTGTCGAACGACTCGTGGAGAAACCTTCTGAGCAACTTCAGAAGTAGCAAACGGTTTAGCAACACCACACTCCCCATCCTTGGACTTAAATGGCAAACGACATATCCCCATCAACCTTTGTCGGGATATCAATCAAATGTTTCCCAATTTTTTTTTTTTTCTGATAAAATTTCGTTTTTGTAATTTTGATGTATTTATGGATGGAGTCTAGACCAAGATAGATCAGTATCTCCCAACACTGACAAACTGTCTCTTGTTGATTTTCAAATTTTTCGGGACATCCTCAAATAGACTCATCGGTGGCCCCCAATAGCGCAGCTGGCTTTTCTTGTAGAGGTTTTTGTGTTTCAGTCGTGAGATAATGGAGTCGAGGGCCCCGTGGATTGGGTCGAAAGCCAACAGGCGCTGCAAATCGGTGCATGTCCTCACGTGTTGGAGGGACTCCACTGGTTCTTCCATCGTCACATCATAAACGTCATCTGCAATTACAATGTTGTTGAGCAGTTTCAGGAAACAACCACCATAGCCCTTCCGCAGGTAAGGGGTATACTCAATATCTGCCAGAAATACAAAAATTGAATTTAATCATCTCAATTCAAAGAGGTTTTGATTCATCTAGTATCATGACAATTTCCCTTCCAGTGCTCTGATTCAGGACCGTAAAATATTGTTATATTTTCATTCGCCAGCAGCTGTTTTCTTTCTTATGTTTTCATTTTTCTTTTTTTTTTTGAAAAATATATATAATTCCTGAAATGCCTTAAATTTTTCTTAGTCAAAACTATTTTTATTTCCGAATTGGGGGGCAATTTGACAAGCCAGTGTAGTTTAGATGGTGGTTTGTAAAAAAAAAGTTCTTATGGTGATGCGCTAAAATCGTGATAGTTCATATGGGAAATAGTTTTTTACCCAACTTTATATACCCATTTACAGCCTATGCAATGCTGATTAGAAGGTAAATCAGTTAAAATCCAAGTTTTTGTTTGTTCTAAGGCTGATAACTCTCTTTGCATAGCTTCTTTCCATAAAGGATCAGTAACTGCCTGTTTATAAGTTCTAGGTTCAGTTTTCTGAGATATGGAAGAAGTGAAGCAATAAAGAGAATCAGAAAGTAAAGATGTAGATAAAAAATCAGAAATGGGATATAATATGTACCAGAACTTTCAGAATGTGTTACTAGGTTTGAAGAATTAGGTAAAGAATGTTGATATATATTCAGGTATGATGGGAGATGTCTAGTTCTACTGGATCTTCTTGGAGGAGTAGAAGTTGATGTAGAAACAGGTTGATTGTTTGAAGTGTGAGATATGATATCTGTGGTTGATTGGGAGTTACGAGGTGTATTGGATGTGGTAGGAGGAGCATGTTGTTGGAGATTGTTGTTTTCTGATATAGGTAGAGATTGTGTGAGTAGAATGGTTGGTAATCTGAAAACAGTATCATTTGAATAGGGTGGGAAAAGATATTCTTGACTTATAAGTTTTTCAGTTAGATTTTTAATGGGAAACACATTCTCATAAAATGAAACATGTCTGGATATAATAATTTTCCTGGTTTCCAGATTGTAAAGTCTAAAACCTTTACTGTAGCGCCCCATTCGATTTATAGAATTTCCTGGATTATTCTATTTATCGGATTTTATTTATAAGTTTATATTTATTGTATTGGTCATGATGTCGACTTGAATTTTATGTGGAACTACTGGATCGTTTTGTTGTAAAACATTTGTCGTTCGGCGATTTCGGTTTTAATCGCATAGTTCGAATCTAAGCCGTTTGATTATTGGATTTTATGTGATTAATTGGAATTTATGTGATTACTTGGTATTATTACTAATTTGGGTTAATTATTATTTTTCTCGTTAAAGCCATTGTATTACATTGTCTTTAAGATGATGTAATGTCTCGTTCGATTTAATTTAGTTAAGTCGTTTGAAAATTCGGTTTAAATCGGATCAAGGATCGATATTTATCTTAGCATGTTGACAAAACTGAGCCAAAGTCAAACCGGGGTCAAACCAAACACTTAGAAATATTTTCTAAGTCATTTAGCCCTAAGAGTACACCAGGCCGCGCTCAGCCCGCGCACCCGGTCCCAGGCCTGAGCTAGTGCAGCCCGCGCCCGCGCGCGGCCCAGCGTATCCCCAGCGCCCTATATGGTAAGTTAGGGCGACTACAGCCCTATTTTAACCCTTTTTCCCCCTTCCCTAAGTCTGATATCACTCCCTCTCTACTCCCAAACCAGCCGCCACCTCCTCCCCTCAAAAATTCAGATCGGTGCGCCTCTCACGACCCGACGAACCCGCGTGCACTGCACCGCACCCCGGCGACCCGCGAGCAAAAACTAACGGAAAATCCTTGCACTCCAGCCCCTGTTCGAACAATTCACGGCCAGAAAGGAGCAGCCATCATCGTTCGAGGAAATTGGAGAAGGATCCAACCCAGGCGAGCCGAACCCTAGCCGCCGAGCCACCCCGCGAGCGCAATCGAGCCTCCGAACCCTTTCCCTTATACTTTTAAGTGCAAGGACCCTGAGAACGGTACTTGATGGCTGTACCCTCTCATAAATTCGTGTTTTATGATTTATATAGCTCTGGTCCTTTGAGTTTAATGTGGATTCGTTGGAATTATATGATAATATGGTGATTTATTGAATGCTTGATGTGTTTTAAATGAAATCATGTTGAATCCTTTACTAATTCGTGAACTCCTGTGGATATTGGAATCTAGGATCGTCCTTAATCATTTGAAAAAGGTTTTGGACGATTTGGTCGAGTACAAATCGAGTTTCGGATTTTTGAATCCGATCTAGTTTTGAAATTTTGAAAAATTGAGATCTCATAAACTACTTGGGATTTTAATGTAAAATATTGAGGGATGATTCTTGTGTTAGTATGCTGACTTGGGTAAAAATTTCAATGAAAAACCCGATCTATAGCCATATGAACCGAGTGTTTAAATTCTGATCATAATATTAAAAAATTCATATGAAATCGAGTTTTGATTATTTTGATTTGAATTTCTGAGAATTTTAATTTTTTGATTTAATCTCTGTTGTGTCCAAATTTCAAATGAAAACTCGATTGTTTTCCTAGAGAACTTGAAAAACCCTAATTTTGATCTTATTTTGCAAAAATGAGTTAACTGGGTTAATTAAATTTTTAAGCGTTTATCTCTGGTAAAAGTATGTGTTTTTAAGTCTATTTCAATGTGGTAAAATTTCTTAAAGTTTGGTTGAGTCCATTTTAAAAAGGTTTGGTGCTTTCATTTTGGTGTTTTTTTTTTTACCCCGGGTATGTGCCCTGTGTGTCGCCCGTGCCACCCGCGCGCACTGACCGCCTCTACCGCATGCCACCCTTGCCCAGAACACACCAGCGTCACCCAGGACCCCGCGGTGGCCATCAGCCGACCCTCAGACCGCGCCCAGCGTGCCCCTGCCGTGCCCAGCGACCCCAGCGCCATGTACCGCTCTGCCTGGACCTAGACCCATGCCAGATGCACCCAGACCGCGCCCCAGCGCGCCACCACAACCCGGCTTGTGCTAGACCGCCCGGCTACAACCCGACTGAGTCGGCCCGAGCCCGAACCCGGTCCTTTGACCTTGTTGAACCGTTTTTCCGATTTTTCCGAACCTCTTGACTTCCGTTCACCTGTTTGACCATATGTGACCTCGTTTTTTGTGTCAAGTCAATTTCTAAAAGTTTTTAAAAATGAAATCTCGAGTCTAGCTTTCAAAACCTAGTGTTCCAACTTCCACAGAACTTCACGAACAGCTTAGTCGAAAATGTTTGGTTAAGTATGATTATTTCGTGATGTCATTCTAAGGGTCAAGATAAGATACTTATGAAGTTATCTTGACTAAAATGTAGATGTTTGACGAGTTGGCCTCGCAACCTACACAGCAGACCGGTGGTATTTCCATTCTGCTGAACCAGGTGGGTTTTATTTAAAAATTTTCTATGCAATAAATTTTTTGCTTTACTTGTGTATGATCAGTGTATGAATGTGAACCATGTAGCCTTCGATGTGAGCTGTACCGGCCGTCGAACATTTATCCCCGTAGCTATAGAACGTACCCGTTGGGTAATCTCCTTTTGGGAACCGTAAGACCTGGGCATGGGCCTTGGCTGGTGAACCCCGTTGTAAGACCAAGGCGAGGTCTTGGCCGGCGGGGTGGTTTACTCCTACTGGGTAGGGGATCGATAGAAGCCCAAGGGGCATTCGATATTTTACCCAGCAGTAGTCTATGCGTAGGTGTGCACATGAGTCTTGATTTTAACAATATTATGATGAGAGATTGGGATACTCAATTATTTCATGTACATGCTGTGATCATACTGATTTATATTATGTTTATCATTTATTGCATAGTGGTGAGCACAACGATCTCCATATGTGCTCACTCCCACCTGAAATTAACATTTCAGGTTGAGCAGGGCAGGCATGACGACGAGAAGGGGCGAGTGGTGGTCGGTCCTTATGACCCGATTATTTAGTTGTTGCTTCTGCTATCTTATGAACTGATTTTACGATCTTATGAAGTTATGAACTCTGAGGTTTTATGACGTATTGAAATAATGTTGGGGAGATGCCCCGTGAACACTGTGATTTTGGGAGCCCGATTTAGGTAAAATGTTTATTTATGATTTTATGAATGGGAGTTGATTAATGTCATGAGATGATGATTGATGTTGAATTTAAATGAGTAACGCCATAAGTGTTTTGAAATGAATTTTCAAAAATTAAAATGATTTTTCTGAAAAGTCATGGATTTTCGTTAAATGAAAGTAGGGCGTTACAGTGTGGTATCAGAGCAGGTCTACGTTTCTGTAGACTGCTTTATGTGATTTATATGAACTCTATGAAAATAAGTGAATATTATGAGTAATATAAATTGCTTATGTGAAATAGTATGATATTATGAGATGTAAATCGAGGCTTAGGAATTTATCCTACTGCTTTTAAACATTCTTGAACTCTAGATGAGTGGCGAACTTAGTTGTATGAACTTGAACTCTAGCGGTATAGAGTTAAGTTCTAACTTGAGATTTTGTTTGCTGGAAAATTCGATATGATATTATCGAGCTGAGTTCTGTGTATAACAGTCCTCTCGAGGTAAATTTGGTGTCTTCAGATGAGGACCATCGCGGGCCATCTCGAAAGGAGAAGGCTTAAACGAAGGGAACAGACAAACGAAGAAGTCCCAGGTGTGTGGGATATTCGGAAGTATGTAACCATGGTTGATAAGACCATTAGATGCGTATTAGAACCCAGTCGAGTGCGAACTGGGGAATGGTCTAGGTACCTCGTGCACACTGTTTTTCGACCACGATGAGTGGTGAGAGAACCTAAAACGTAACACCGTCGCGACTCTCGAGAGTGGCTAAGCCTCTAGAAAGGCGATAGTGACCTGTTCTTTTGCGAAAATTATCCAGCGAAGGAATCCGACCTTGTTCTTAA